ACCTACACACAGATCCGCCTCCAAACACAGAGATCTCGCACACCCACTGCACTACCATTCTATTACTCAATAATAATAATAATAATAATAATAATAATAATAATAATAATAAATAAACTAATCTGACGTTCAGCAGCCGTTGCTGAACGGCAGTGACCTGGCTGAATCGCAGCGTCGCTGCTGTTCACGCTGCTGAACGACAGCGTTGCAGCGACGACGCTGCTGAGATTCAGCAGCGTCTTCGCTGCCGCTTTGAGGGAAGGAGAGGAGCGCTGCTTCGAGATTTGACAGGGAGGACACGACGGCGGCGGAATGGGTGAGACGACGGCGACGGAATGGGTGGAGAAGAGAGCCGGGGAGGAGGAAGATAGGATATGGGTTAATCACTTTAGGGTTAGGGCTAGATAGGGTGGGGGTATATATAAATTAATTTACTGTAGATAAATAGAAAAATAAAAATAAAAAATGTTTTTAAATTAATGATTAAAACCTAATTTTGAAATATGAAACTTGAATTAGGATTTATGAAAATTGTATTTTAAAAGTAGGATTTGGTGTAATTTCCTCTTTAAATAACATGGCCAAACGGCCACGAATCTTTTTGGTAAGAATTGGGGCCCCAATTTTTGTCGGCTAGTTTACCAGGATCGCTCTCAAGCCCACAATTCAAATACGCTATTCGGAAGGGCATATCTGTCATTATATCCATAAAAAATTCAGCCCTCACGTGAACCGTCAGATCTGAATTTTAGATCAAATCGTGAAATGAGCGCCTCTTCAAAATTTCAAATCCTGCTCTCCTTCCATTTCTACACACACACACACACACAAAAACACGCTAGAGTGAGGATATTTTTTCACCAACGGTAGACTACAGAACACAGATTGTGAGGCACAGAATCAAGAATGTCGGGTAGACACGAGAAAGAGAAGGGGGTCAATGTCCAGGTGCTTCTCCGTTGCAGGTAGTGTATTTATACGATTTCAGGGTTCCGATTTTTCTTTTATTTTCCGAAATTTTGAGTTATCTGTGTAAAAATTGGTGAATTTTCAGACCGTTTAGTGAGGATGAGTTGCGGAACAACGCTCCGCAGGTCGTGACCTGTAGCGATTACCAGAGAGAGGTGTCGGTTTCACAAAATATCGCTGGGAAACACATAGATAGAGTTTTTACATTTGACAAGGTACTTTGCTGTAATGGGTTACTTATTATTAATTTTAATGACTAGAATTTATTTTGCGTTTTGTATATTATTTTTTATGGTTCCGGATAAAAAAAATAGGTTTGACTTGTTTCTATTTCTTTTTCAATGATTGGAGGTCTTATAGGTTAAGAATGAAATTTTCAGTATTTCATTGAAATTAAGGACTGTTAAGTTTGCAAATTCATAAGGAGCTGTTCATGTTTAACTGATCTGGGGCACTTTCTTTTGTTTTTCAGCTTGTTCATCTTGGAATAGGTTATCAATTAATAAAAAAACTAACTTTACCGGCAATATAGGATGTCCCACCTGCTAAATCGATCCAGAATTCCATCTTGACATGACGAGTATTGATCCCCCTCTGCAGGAAGGATTCCTTATGTGTAAAATTGACATTTGAAAGATTCACAGTTAAAGTAAAAATTTATATTGGCCTTCTTAGGTTTATCCTAAAGACGTAAACCATAGTTTTCAAGAAACTAGCACTCAAGGATTCAGAAGCACAACACTTGGAAATAGAAGTTGGCCTAATTTGTACTTTTCAAATGCATTCTTTTTAGCTCTTCTTAGAACCATCTGATAATTATTATCAATTCAGGTTTTCGGACCCAACGCACAACAAAAGGATCTCTATGAACAAGCTGTTGTCCCCATAGTTAATGAGGTATTGGAAGGTTTCAACTGTACTATCTTTGCTTATGGGCAAACAGGTACTGGAAAAACTTATACCATGGAGGGTGAATGTAAGAGGTCGAAGGTACTTTGCATTTTGATATGGTTTTACTTATTACTTTAAGTGTTACATTGATTCCTTTTGTAGATTTTGATTTCTGATTTTCCTTTATCTTACAGAGTGGACCGAATGGGGAATTGCCTTTGGGAGCAGGAGTCATACCTAGAGCAGTTAAGCAGATTTTTGACACATTGGAGAGTCAAAATGCAGAATACAGTGTGAAAGTCACTTTCCTGGAGTTGTACAATGAAGAAATCACCGACTTGCTAGCCCCCGAAGAGATTTCAAAGATTGCCTTAGAGGACAAGCAGAAAAAGCAGTTGCCACTTATGGAAGATGGGAAAGGTGGTGTTCTTGTTAGAGGACTAGAAGAGGAAATTGTGACAAGTGCTAATGAAATTTTCACTTTACTTGAAAGGGGATCTGCTAAACGTCGAACTGCAGAAACTTTATTAAACAAACAATCTAGGTTCTGGTTTTCTCTGCTTTATTTTATCTTTTCAGTCTCTTTTACTTTTGGAGACATTTATGACGTGTATATATCTTTTTTTGATATCAGTCGATCACATTCTTTGTTTTCCATAACGATACACATTAAGGAAGCAACACCTGAAGGTGAAGAGCTAATAAAATGTGGCAAATTGAATTTGGTTGATTTAGCTGGTTCAGAGAACATCTCTCGCTCTGGCGCTAGGGAGGTAATTTAATACTTATTTGCCTACATAAGTTATGAATATGATAGTGAAGTGTTAAATGTTTAATTTTTGTTTTCGTTTCTTATTATGTTGGTTCTACTGACTGCTATCACCTTTATAATGTTGCAAGATTATTTGGATTCTTTTTCAATTTATTCCTGAAATATGTTTCTAATTTTCAGGGCAGGGCAAGAGAAGCTGGAGAAATAAATAAAAGTTTGCTGACATTAGGACGAGTAATAAATGCTCTTGTGGAGCATCTTGGACATGTACCTTACAGGTTGAATCATGTAGAAGTTTTTGATCATCTGTTTTGTTAGTTCATTCTCAGTTAACTTATCTATCAACTTGCTATCCTACCCTGTTAACAGGGATAGCAAACTCACAAGGTTACTCCGTGATTCACTTGGAGGTAGAACCAAGACCTGCATTATTGCAACCGTGTCTCCGGCTGTTCATTGTCTTGAGGAGACCCTAAGCACACTAGACTATGCTCACAGGGCTAAGAATATAAGGAATAAGCCTGAGGTTTGGTGCAACTTTTTCTTTTTGTCATATTGAATATTTGAATTATTGATTACTCTGGTTTTTTCTGTTTTAATGGATAAGTTTAGATGGTAATACATAATTCTTATTTTGTACCATTGCAAAACAATTCTTCACAAAACATTCAAGTCAAAACTTTTGCCTTATCTTTTCGTAGGTGAACCAGAAGATGATGAAATCAACTCTGATTAAGGATCTCTATGGTGAAATAGATCGGCTTAAGGCAGGTAAATCTTCTAGTACTCGGCAAGATGTTTTCATCGATAATAAATAATTATGTTGGAAGTTCTACCTCCTCATCTTATATTTTCTGTCTTGCTCTTCTATAGAAGTTTATGCTACTCGAGAAAAGAACGGGGTCTACATCCCTAAGGAGAGATACTACCAGGAGGAGAGTGAGAGGAAGGTACTTCTCGAATGCTGGATCCTTTAAACAGGATTTTCTTTGTCCTTTTGAGTCAATTTAACTCTTTTGATTTGTTTAATCTAGGTTCTGCAAGCGACAAACTAATGTATTAGTTGTACTAATTGTTCATTATTTAACATGATGAATTACTTTGAGGGCTAAATAATTTCTTATCAGTTTTGGAATTTTTTGTTAACATAACATATTTTCTCTGTTTTAGGCAATGGCTGATCAGATTGAACAAATGGGAGTTACTATTGAAAACCATCAGAAGGTCAGTTTGTCTCATGTTGTTAACTAGCAGACACATTATGTATGATTATCTCTAAATTGTTTTGATTGAATGGCTAAAGCAACTGGAGGAATTGCAAGCTAAATATGAGGGTCAGGTTCAACAGTGCTCTGATTTGAGTAACAGACTTGACGCAACCAAAGTAAGTTATTGTAATAGTGCCGTGCCGTGCCTTGCCATGTTTTTGATTCATTTTTTGATTCTTATTTGGAGTTGTATGCAGAAAGACTTGAAACAGACCAGTGAATTGTTGGCAAATACGGAAAATGAATTGAGACAATGCAAGTATTCCCTCAAGGAACGGGACTTTATCATATCTGAGCAGAAAAAAGCAGGTATTTTGTGGTTTAGTAAAGAGTCAAAGTTTCATTCTTTCGGGTGCCTAAACCATGTTTCTGAATATATAAATAGAGAATGCACTGGCTCATCAAGCATGTGTGTTACGGGCTGACCTGGAAAAATCCCTCAAGGATAATGCTTCACTATTTCTGAAAATTGGTATGTAGTTTCAATGATAAATCCTTTTTTCTTAATTTTGTTCTGTAGATGGGCATAATGATTTTAATTATTAATTTGCAGCCAGAGAGGACAAACTGAATGAGGATAACAGGTCAACTGTGGACACGTTTCAGGCTGAGCTGGTGCAGCAGCTTGGTACTCTTTGTAACACATTGGCCACATCGATTTCTCACCAAAGCGAACACCTCCAGTGTGTTGAAAATCTCTGTAACTCTTTTCTGGAAGTACATGATAAGGTGTTTGTTCCATTTCATTGAGTTGTTATTTATCTTTCTTCCTTTTTGGTAAATTTGTACTTTTCAAATATACTGCTATTTCCCAAAATCTTTTATTTGCTTGTAATTGTTAATTCGTTTTCCAGCATAATTTTTACATTCTTATTTCTCTAAATTTTGCTCATAGGCTGCCATAAATTTAAAGAAGAAAGTAAGTGCTTCAAGGGCTCTGTATATCTCCCATTTTGAGGCTGTACAGAATGTTGTAAGGCTGCATAAGGCCAATACAAATGCTGCTTTGGATGAAATATCAGTTTTGGCTTCATCAAATTCATGCTCTGTTGAAGAAGTAAGATTTTGAAATTTACCGTTCCTGTCCTTTTATGTTTTTGGTGTTAATTGTTCAGCCATGCAGGTTCTCAACCTTTTTTGTTTGAATCTATGATGTAGTTTTTAGCTGCAGAGTCTGTTGAAGTGAATTCAGTTTTCAGTGATATTCAGGAAACTCTATCTAGTCATCAAGGGGAAATGGCACACTTAGCCAGAGAGCTTCGACAGGTTTCTATATTTACTACAGTAACTCCTACGTTTATCAGCTTGTTTATTTCCCATTATAGTTAATATTTGAATATTTCGATTTCGCAGAAATTTAATGCTAGTATTGAGCACTTGATGGATACCTCGGAAAATATTCATGGATTTCTTGATAAGCTTTTGGAAGAATCAAAACGGTTTGAAGGACATGTAAATCAGGTTGACGAAATGCAGACTAAGTGTATCGTTGAATTTCAGAATGCTTATGAGGTATATCCTACATTGCAATGTTAGTTATTAATTTCAAACTGTAACTTTATGTTGCCTTACATTTAAGTTCTCCATCTTTAGGAACAATCTAAGTCAGATGTGGAGAAGCTTATTGCTGATATGACCTCTCTAGTCTCCAAATGCATGCATCGCCAAAAAGAGATGGTTTGTAACCTGGGTGTCATCATATTACTTAATTTTTGCATTTTTTTTGATATCTAACCAATAGCTCATAGGTGGATGCAAGGCTTGGTGATCTCAGAGAAAGTATAAATGGAAACAAAGCTTTTGTGGATGGGCATCTTTCAAAGATGGAAAGTATTACAACAGATCTGAAACGGAAATGGCAGGATTCCTTCACACAAGCGGAGAATAATTATAAGGACAATGCTGACTTCTCTGCTGCTAAGCATTGTCGTATGGAGTTACTTCTGCAAAAATGGTGCGGAACAAGTTATTTATTTATTTTGGCCTCATATCTTCACCTTCTATATTTAAAAAAATGTTGACCCGCTTTACCACATCCCAATAGGATTGCTGCACATTTACTTTCAATTCTGTTTTGGTCTCTGTTCTTCTGTGCCTTGCCTATGTTTATTTATGAATCCTTTGTATGTTTTCTTATCCAGTGTAAACACTGCCGATACAGCTTTAGAGAGGTGGCAAAGAACACAAAAATCATTGAACGACATGGGAAGTCAACATGCCACCATGATTGCTTCACATATTAGGTTGGTCAATATAGTCTTGCTCGCTTCTCCAGTTGTAACTTGTAAGTTCTAGATTAGTTTAATGTAAGAGCTGAGTTAAACACTCAGTTTCTCATTGTCAGGCGTCTTTTGTAATTTGACCATACATGTTTAAATTTTAATATTGCTGCAATTGACACCTCTCATAGTTATATAACGTCAGCTCATGTTTAGTGCTGTTTTATTTGATAAAAGGACTTATCTAAGAACAGCAAATTAATTAATTTCTGAATCTTTATTTTAGGAACATGTGCAACAGTAACGAACAACATGACGCTGAAATTGACTCTGCAAGGGTTACAGTTGAAGAAGATATCACAAAGAACAGTGAAGGCATCCTTCAGTGTTTTGATGGTTTGTTTTACTCAATTGAATCCCTCTCTCTTTCTACCACATTTTTCCATTCATTGTTAATTACATTTAAGGAAGTATCTGTTAATAGTTTACACTAAATTTAGTTTACTTTAGGGTTTTTAGCAAACATACACAACATATAACTCACATTTATTTGTACAAAAGAAAATGCTAGCTTCTGGATTCATGGTACAAAGGAAAACCCTTCACCAGGGTCACATATAATGATGAGTTACATGTCACGTATTTAATTGTCAAATATTGATTGCTTGTCACTTGTGATTAGACCTTATATAAACAACATTCCTTTTAATTTGTTTTTCTTGTGAAAACTGATTTATTTCTTGATTGCTATTGATTCATCTATTCTGAAGGGAGGGAGACTATGATTTCAATGTCCAGACCTTTGATGTTTCTTGCCTATTTTGTTTTCAGGCATGTCAGAGCAAGAGAGAGAATATGTTTCTGAAATTTTAACGACTTCTAGATTTCATTCTGAAACTCTTGAGATCCTTCAAAAAGATCACTCTCAGCAGTCAGCCTGTATCGAACAGCATGCCGTTGATACTTTCAGGCAAAAATATATGGTATGTTCTAAAATTATGCTTTGAATGGTTAGTTCGATGTTATGGCTATTGGTTTAAAAATTGAAATTTACACCTTCAACATTGACTAACCCTTTTGTATTGTTTCATTCAATTCCTTTGGTTTGTTGTGGATAAGATATAGAATCATGTCACAAAATAGTATGTTCATAATAACAGAACTATCTGGATGGAATTGCCCTTTTACGATTTTAACTACTTCATTGATGTACAGGATTATGAGGTCACTGGCTCAACCCCAGTGAAATCTGAGCAGGATATTCCTTGTAAGGCCACTATCGAGTCACTACGAGCCATGCCAGTGGAAGTCTTGCAAGAAGAATTCCGAGAAAACCATTCAAATGAATCTCTTCAAGTAAAGGAACCAAAGCCTTCGCTGATTCCTCGCTCCCCACTTTCACAGATCAACTAAAATAGTAGTGAACCTGTTCCATTCGGTATTATCTTTATCTTAGTGTTTGTATTTTACATGTATACGTTTCTCTCCATCTACAATCTACTTTGAATCCGAAGCTGGTGTGGAGATTTGTATTCCCATATTAGGTTTATCAAGATGAATAAATCCCTCGGGATTTAGTAAAGGTTGTAACCTTCTCATTTATACTTTCTTGTTTTATTTACGAAAGACGCAAGGCATTTCAAGGTTACTGAGTATTAACGAGCCAATTAGTCTTTATTTAGTATTTACTGCTATTCAAACTTCTATTTTCTGTTGAATTGAATGGAGTTGTACCTTAACACTAGTGAGAATTTTAGGCTTTCGACCTGGCTAACAACAATGGGCATAACCCTTATGTTTAGTTGTCATTGTTAACTTTGAAATCCAAAAAAACAAAAAAAAACTTTTCGTGATAAGTCAAGAAAGGTAAAAATGACGTCAAGCCAATACAAAGGGTCATGATACCGATGTGGCCCACGAGGGTGAGCTAACCTAAAAAATGCATCTTTAGTTCGAACTGAATGTTGCAACTCATTTGCATGAGAGTAATGGTGTCAACCATGAAATATTGATCTCCCGTTTAACACACATTTTTTTAAAATACATTATTTCAAAATTCATTTTCAATAATATTTTTTTATCACATCAATAATTTTTTCTTATTTTTTAATTACATATTTTTCATTATATCACTATTTAAAATACATTATTTCCTCAATAATATCCATCAAATACCCCTTGAATTTGTTCCCAAATCTTGTGCACACTTCAAGCATAGTTTAAGCATAACCAAACATGCTCTCAACAGAATATCTTTAAGTAACTTTAACGAATAAATGGTATATACATCCAAAGCCATTGACTTACCAACTTTGAACATAAAGTTTGATTTCAAATACAATTTATACATATAATTAAAATAAAAATAAAATAACTTGCTTATTTGTATATAATTTACTTACTTATTTTCAGCTTTAATTAGTAAATAATAATGGCTTATTTATAACAAAACTTTATTCATAAGAAGTTTTATGCTGGTTTTGTAATTTTCTCTATATGAGAAGAGAAAGTCTACTGGTACATCAGCCAATCCATCAAGGCATACATAATGCTGATTTGGCGATATTTTGACGATATTTTGACTTAAAATTTGAATTGTTGCAAAATTTATAAAACACACCCCTAAACTTTTTGAAATCAAACTTTTCCCCCATTTAACCCCCAAATCAATTACCCCCAAATCAAACCCTTCAATCCCCAACCCGATAATCACAAAAAAAAAAAGAAAAGAAAACCCCTTCCTTGCCACACCCAAAATCCGTTCACTGGCGTCCCATCTTCCCACCGGTGCCATCGCCCTTCAATCCCAACCCGATCCAAAAAAACCCCTTCAATCCCAAACCCAAAATCCGTTCACGACGCCAGCCCATCTCCCCACAAGCGCCATCGCCCATCTCCCCACAAGCGCCATCGCCCATCTCCCCATCAAAGCCTTGGAGGATTTGAACTGTATTACGATGATGGAGCTGGAACTGGTTTGCAGCCGCTGCCTGCTAGTATATCTGAGTTTTTGCTGGGATCGGTTTTTGACAGATTGCTAGGCCAGTTGGCCCGAATTGAGGCTAATGGTATCGGGCGAATCGACATTAATCCTCGAGCCTCAAAGCTGGATGGAGATGAACTTGTGAATGGGAAAGGGAGGAAGAAGATACAGAGATTATTCATTGTTGTATGCCTGGTGGTGGGTTTGCTGTGGGCCATTTTTCAGGAGGGAGGAGGGATGGCTTGCTTGCAGCAATTTTCTTTTCCTTTTCATTTTTACTTGATATCCAGCAGTTGGCTTTATGAACTTTGTATTGTAGTTGGTTGTTGTATATGTAGTTGATTGTTGTAAGTTGGCTATATGATCTTTGTATTGTTCAATGAATGAATGAATGAATCATGTTATAATTCAGTTTGTTTCATTTTTGTGGCTGAGGTGCATAAGTGTATTGGTTGAGTTTATTGAAAATTGGATTGATTAAGGTTGTAAACATGCATACAACCAGCAAGAATTGGGGTGGAAATTGATGAAACCAGCAAGAATTGTAAACCAGCATACAGAATAATAAACCAGCAAGAACAATAATTCATACAGCATCTATAAACCAGCACAAAGGTAAACCAGCTAAAGGAATGAACCAGCAGAAAGATAAACCACCAGAAGGTAAACCAGCAAGAAGAATAAACCAGTAAGCATAAACCAGTAAGAAGGATAAACCAGCAGAAGGAATAAACATTTACTTTATTTATCAAAGTTTTTCTACACATTTACAACTCTATTTGACTTAGAGGTTAAACATAATTCCATCACTTGCACTTCACCAGTTACATTACAAAATCAAAAGTCTACTGGTACAGACACAGGCATTAGACCAGTTACATTACAAATCAAAAGATCTCCCAAAAATCTGTCACAGGCACTTAGCCAGTTACATTACAAAATAAAAAATCTCCCAAAAAATCCATCACTCGCACTTCACCAGTTTCAGCATATCATCTTCTCCACCACTTGCACTTCACCAGTTTCATTGCAAATTTGTTATAGCTTCCATGCTGTCTTGTGTCCCAAATGCTTGAGGTGGTNCAAATGCTTGAGGTGGTAGAGGAGATGATATGCTCATCACTTGAGACATTGGCAAATTGTTGGAGACATTGTCTTCGGACAAAGTAGGTCTATTAGAAGATGCCGAGTTCAACGTCATCTACAAGAGTCAACATTAACATTAACATTGTAACATGTGAATAATGAATTATGTGATTAACTGAATTATGAATTGACCTCCCAAACCTTATTACGACTCCTTGATTTTTTCTTTGTCGTCTCTAGCGAACTTTTTATTCGTAGTTTCTTTGGAGCGCCTTTACGTTTTGTACACTTCGGATCGAAAATGTTGACGCCTTCTACATTACCTCCTCCCATTCCATGGGAGGCCAAACGATTACTTTTTGCATTTAACAACTCATTAGTTTGCAATTCAATCCACCCCATAAGCTGCTTTGAACGTTCTTCATCAGCTGCAACCAAGTCTGCCATCTTGGTTAAAGCAGCACACAACTGCTCATATCTCAACTGTTCAGGAGTTCTAATCAAACCATTATATATTGGTGCAACCAGCATGTATGGTCTACTCACGTCTTTCCTCCATCTCCTTAAAATATACTTCTCGGGAAGTAATGACACCTCATTCCGAAGTAAAATCGAGATAGCATGTTTGCAAATGATACCTCGAAACTCGAACAAATGACAGTTACACACAATCTCGCAATTGTTTCTACGAAAAGAAACTGTAAATATTTTTGTCTTCCTTCCTTCTTCAAGGATGATATCTTCACGGATCTCATACTTCGTTATCCCACCTAAGTCCTCCGCAGATAATATGTCACAGTAAACCTTTCCGGTGAATTCTTCTTGGAATTCCCTGAATTTAGAAATTGTGTACACATCTTGAAACTGCTTCTCCATCTCATACTTGGTAGCACAGGGAACCATTTGCGAGAATGATCTAAAATCAGCTTGGAATTCCTTCTCAACTTTACTTCTCAAAGCCCGCTCATACTGCTCTACGAATAACTTCAAAGATGTCTTTGAGTGCACATAGCCATCGAAGAATGCATTCATGCTCTCACTTCGCTGCGTAGTCGACATACCCGCCCAAAATGTAGTTCTCAAGTAGCATGGTACCCAACAACTTCGGTCGTCATAAAGTCCGCTCAACCAAACATTATCTTGCAAATGTAAACGTTCAAGCATGTTCGCCCAACCCTCTTCAAATTCTTCACAATCTAGTGTATCATACACTAAACCATGTATGGCATGAAGTATTGCACCTTTTTCACGATGACCACCGAACTTTTCAGGCAACTTCTTTAGAATATGCCACAAGCACCACCTATGCTTACTGTTGGGGAAAACGATTTCAATAGCATTTTGCATAGCACGATCTTGATCTGTAATAATTCCACCGGGAGCTTGATCATGCATGCACTCAAGCCATGTCCTGAATAACCAAATAAATGTATGTGTGTCTTCGTTCGAAATCAATCCACAACCAAATAAAGTTGATTGCCCGTGGTGATTCACTCCAACGAACGGAGCGAAAGGCATATCATACTTGTTTGTTAGGTAAGTAGTGTCAAAAGTCACTACATCACCGATTTCCTTGTAAGCTTGTCTACATCTGTTGTCCGCCCAAAACACATTCCTCAACCGAGAATCTTCATCCAAGTCCATACTGAAATAAAAACCCGGACTGCATGTTNAATTTTACCTTTCTAGACTCGTCAAGTGTAAAAATCTTGCACCACTTCATCAAATACATGCTCAAGTAACTGTTAATGGACTGCTCCAAAACCCCATTGTTACTAATAAAATTCTTTATACATACACGTTGCACAAGGCTTTAGGAAATGCAAGTGCATTATTTAGCGGGTTTAGTAAACCAGACCCGTTTTCCTGGAGTGTTATGGTTGGCGGATATGCTAAAGCTGGTGACTTTATGAATTGTTTTAGAACATTTAGGGAGTTTATAAGGTCCGGGGTTGTGCCTGATAGCTATACTTTGCCTTTTGTGATAAGGGTTTGCCGAGATACAAAGGATTTGCTAATGGGTAGATCGATGCATAGTGTTGTTTATAAGTTCGGGTTGATTTCAGACCCTTTTTCGACTGCAGCACTAGTGGACATGTATGCGAAATGCAAGGTTATCGACGATGCAACACAGCTGTTTGATGGAATGCCGAAGAGGGACCTTGTTAGTTGGACTGTGATGATTGGGGCGTGTACTGAGTGTGGGAATGCGGATGAGGCACTGGTTTTGTTTGACCGGATGAGAGCGGAAGGAGCTATGCTGGATAAGGTTGCTATGGTAAATGTTGTGAATGCTTGTGCAAAGTTAGGTGTGATGCATAAGGCAAAGATAGTTCATGATTACATACGGTGGATGAATTTTTCGCTGGACGTGATCTTGGGGACTGCAATTATTGATATGTATGCAAAGTGTGGGAGTGTTGACTCTGCCAGGGATATATTTGATAGGATGAGAGAGAAGAACGTTATATCGTGGAGTGCAATGATTGCAGCTTACGGATACCATGGGGATGGCCAGAAGGCTCTGGATTTGTTCAATATGATGTTGGGGAGTAGGATATTGCCTAATAACATCACGTTTGTATCACTCTTATATGCTTGTAGTCACTCCGGGCTTGTTGAAGAAGGTCTTCAACTTTTCTCATTGATGCAAGATGAGTATGGAGTAAGACCAGACGCGAAGCATTTTACTTGTATGGTTGACCTATTTGGTCGGGCTGGAAAGCTCGATCAGGCCTTGAAATTGATCGAGGATATGAGTATTGAAAAAGATGAGGGGCTCTGGGGTGCACTGCTTGGGGCATGTAGGATTCATGGTCATGTTGAACTAGCAGAAAAGGCAGCAGAATCCCTCATTGAATTACAACCACAAAATGCAGGACATTATGTATTGCTTTCAAATATATACGCCAAAGCAGGTCGATGGAAAGAAGTGGCAAAGGTTAGGAAACTAATGACCCATCAGCGATTAAAGAAAATTCCAGGTTGGACATGGATTGAAGTAGATAATAAGATCCATAAATTTAGTGTGGGAGACCGTACTCATCCCCTGTCGAAGGAGATATACGAGGAATTGAAGCATTTGAGAGAGAAAGTAGAGCTGGCTGGGTATGTTCCTGATACAAATTTTGTGCTGCACGACGTTGATGAGGAACTCAAGTTTGGATGTTTATATGCTCATAGTGAGAGGTTGGCTATATCATTTGGATTAATCAGCACACCTGAGGGAACCCCAATTAGAATTACAAAGAATCTAAGGGTTTGTGGAGACTGTCATACATTTAGTAAATTTCTCTCTTTGATTACACATAGGGTAATTATTGTGCGTGATGCCAATCGGTTCCATCATTTTAAAGAAGGTGGTTGTTCATGTGGAGATTACTGGTGAATGGCGTATCATATTCTGCAAAATAAGGTAAATACTTTTTGTTCTTTACTTTTCCAACATCGAATTATTATTTAAGAACCGCTTTATGCAACTCGAACTCCCATTCTCATTGACACAATGCCAAATATGCTTGAAATAAACATTTTCAGTTCATCTACTCAATGATTATTAACTAGGCCTGAAGCAGCAAAAAATGCTTGTGTATGGGCCACACGTTTCCCATTCCTGGGCATGAATGGGCAAGTACCACAGGTCCACAACCTACATCAGAAACAAGGTCTACATTATCAACTAGAATCAGTGAATTTGCCCTATGGCTAAAATCAGATTTCAAATTTTAAATTACTTGTAGAGCATCACACTCGGCAATACCAATAGCTTCAGCGTCATCTGAAAGCAAACTCCCCAGTACTGATCTCAAGGAAGCAGCAATAACCAGCCCGTCATGGTTCCATATCACAGACCAACGCCCACCGACCTTCTGCCATCTCTTAACCAAGGCAGATGCCAAAATGAATCTCTCTTTCAGGATAAGATCGACGTATCCTTGCTGTGTTATTTCTTTTGTTAAGAACTAGAGGTCCTCGGTTGAATCATGGCTCAGACAATATATCCTAGGTTTAAGGATCATGACTATATACTAATTAGCTTAATCAGAACTTAAATTAGATCAAACATTACTCCTTGAATATTTAGAATAATTCAAAAATCCACAAGGCAGTTTGGTTTGAAAATTTACTGCTTAAATGTTGATTATCTCTTTGGTATTGTTTTATGACACTGTTACCCTGCTTCTATTCTAGTGAATTTACTATCTTCAACTCTTTTAACAGCTGGTTGACGCCGCGCTGAAATTCTTAAATTTTGTCACATATTTTCATGCAAGTCTTTAAAATAAAGTGAGAAGGCAACAATATAGCTCAACTGCATTTGTCTTTATATAAATATAGGCGTTTTATGGTTTAGAATCTTTAATGAAAATGATCTAAAAAGATCATAATGTGTACTTTTTGTGGCTGAATTTTGAGCTTTTTACTTCCAGTCTTCCATCATCACATGCATTGAACATTTTGTAGCACTATACTTGTTTGTTTTCAATTCCTTTTGTTTTGCAGAGGGATAATATTCAGAATTTTATTGCCAAATATTCATTGAGTTTCAATCTTGGAAACATGAATATCATAAATGACCACACATTAAAAAAAAAAAAAAAAAAAAAAAAAAAAACTGAAATGAAGAATAAATATGGTTATCTTTTTCCATTGCAGTTCATCTCTTAATGGTTCATCAACTTAGGTGTATTCATGCTCCAAGCCTTCAAAGTCTCAATTTTGACAGTCTCTGTGCCATTGTTGAATGCATATAAATGAGCATTGTCATAGATCGCAAGAGTCGGATACACACGAGATGTAATGCAGGTCTTTCCTCTAGCACCAAAACTTTCCACTACCGAATGATCAATCTGCAAGAAACGAGCCATTTTAACTTGACAGTAAACAAAATTATAGCTTATTTTAAGGAAAATTGCAATGAAAGATTAGATTCATACCAAACTCCTAAGGGAAAGCTTCTTGTGAGAAAGATCTACATCTACAAAGCCTGCAAATGAGGGTCTATATGTTCCTGTCTCGTTATATGAGGAGGATCTGTGAATAACATTAATCGAATGACGTTAGCACGACATAATTAACAAAAGAAGAAACCAAAACCAAGTAAATATTCTAAGAATGAAATCTAGGCTTGAACAGACCTTGATGCATCAGAGCACAAGAGAACTAGATTCTTGTCTTGATCCTTGAAAATTCTGAAAAATACAGGAGTGTATTCTTCTAAGTTTTCTGTAGCCAATGTTAAAAGCCCAAAAGGTCCTACTCCACCTTGAACAGTCGATCCCTTTTGACTGCAAAGCTTTTGAGCATCATAACGATCCCAACTGGGGTCGAATGTCTCTGCCTTATCCAAGCTTTCGAAGGTGAAGATTACTTCAACATCAGCCTACCATATTTATGCAACCATGCCAAATAATGAGTATCATATACATATTGTGTTACATAAAGTCTTATTGCATTAGTAGTTACATTATTTTCAGGAGGAAATAATGGAAGTACCTGTGCAGCTGTTATTCCTTTGATTTCAATTCGCTCTCCCTTCTCGACTTTCTTATCTATCACTTCTACCCTCTTCCCTCTTAGAGCTTTTAGTTCTTCAATGGGCCATTGTAGCAATTGCTTGCCATTCGGATCGAGCACAATTGTTCTTGGAATAAGCTAACAAAAAATTCCAAAAAGACGAGAGTTAGTCGAGTAATCAAGAATTCTAAGTTAATTACTTGTTTTGAACATATAATACCTGAATTCCAGCCCAACCCTTTCTTACATCATCGATAACAGCATCAGACTCATTTGCCCAACCCCACAAGATCCTTCTGTTCTTGGCAGGATCAAAAAATGATTTGGAGGCATAAAAATTGCCATAATCATACCTCAATCCCTTCCAGCCATCAACCATATCTTTATCAGGAATATACCTATCCTTTCTCGTGTCATACTTACCCAAGGTATAATATTCATATCTAGTAACATCAAGGCTAACCTTCAACACATGCTTGACATTTTGCCCCATGACCGAAGTGTCTAATCCATTAGTACCTTGTACCGAGACTGGGAAGAAATCGGGGCATTCCCAATTCCCAGTACCAGCAACAGAGTGCAAAGGATGCTTGGCCTTAACCCAATGTAAGAAATCTCTACTCCTATACAAATATGCAATCCCTCTATGCTTCCTTCGACCACCAATAGATATTCTCCAGTTGCCATCTCGGCCTAACCAGGCAGTTGTTGGGTCACGAAATGAGGTCTCGTTAATGGACTTGTCGGCCTTCACTAATGGGTTGTTATCGGGTTTGATCCATACTCGGAGATACGGATCAGAGAGGTTGGCTGGTATTGCATAGTTTTGGACTTGTGTCCTGTTTTCATCAATGATTCCGGTGTACATTATAACAGGCTTGTTTCCTGGGAGGACTGTGGCTGATCCAGACCAACAACCATACTTATCAAATGGTTTTGATGGGAAAATTGCATGCTCTACTTTTTTCCAATTAATCAAGTCCTTTGATACAGAATGAGCCCAAACAATATTGCCCCAAACAGCACCTTTGGGATTGTATTGGTAGAACAGATGATAGATTCCATTGTAATACATTGGTCCTGTTAAGAAAAGATTAATCATTATATATATATATTCGCATTTTTCGTGCTTGTATCAAACATAATGTACGACAAGAAAGACAATAACTCACCATTTGGATCTGTCATCGGTTTGCGTTAGCATCCACATATGTTCAAGAAAACAACATGAAGTCAGTAAATCAAACCCTTTCAATAAATTGGACCACAATTAAGATAATAAATGAAATATTGACCCCACTTATTCAAAAAAAGTATAAATTAATTTCCAATGATGTCATGTAAATGAAGACAATAAGACAATCCCAGAGTTCAACAGAAGACAAACGAAGAAACAAATGAGAGCTAAATCTGTCTTTATGCAACAATTATTTTTAATTGATTAACCATACTCACCTCACCTATATAACAAAATTCTGACTTTTTACACCTTTGATATTAATATCTATACCACTTGCACTTGAAAGTACAACTATAGACAAACACTTAGTTTTAATTTCTTACATCTAACTTTTAGATACAGCGGCTGAAATTAACTTCAAAATCAGACAAAAAGAGTAGAAAAATCTAGTGTACTTTGGATATTTACGTACTAGTATCATCAACATGACGCAATAAAAACTATTTTATTCATTTTTTAAGTTTTATACGCACAACTTAGGTGGAAGGCAAAGAAGGTCTCCTTCGGGGGCGAGCCGTCAGTGACCCCCAAAACATCGTTCTCTTTCAAGCTTTTCAATCAATTGATTCGACCCCTGAGAGTTGCTTTTGCTAATTTCCCATCTCCCCTCGAGAAATAAGGTTGTCGGAGGTGTTTGATGTAAATCATGGAGAAGAAAATGTATTTTATGATGTGATGTGATGAAAAATGTGTGATTAAAAAATAAGAAAAAATTTCAGATTTACGTATAATATTATTTTATTGAAGAATGTATGATTGAAAATGAGTTTCGAAAGAATGAATTTTCGTGAGAATGTGTATCAAACAATGACATATAGCCCCTGTTTGGTACACATTAAAATTTTGATTCTTATTCTTCTACTCATTTTCAACCACACATTATTCAATAAAATAATATTTTCCGTCACATCAATAACTTTTCCTTCTTTTTCAACCACAAATTCTCCATCAATCTACTATTCCACAATATATTCTCTCAAAATAATGTGGCCCAAACACATAATAAGATATTAGCCTCTAGTTGAATCGTCAAAGGACCCATCAAGTATTTTGCAGAGATTCTGCATTTTTTCTGCAGACTGAACATACACCATGGAATTTTTTGTACACACTACCTGCATGCACGAATTGACCATAGATTTTTCAACTGACTTATCGACATGTCGAAACCTTATACTCTACATATTCAAATTTGGCGGTACTTTAGCAATTAATGTGCCATTAAATCCAAAAATAACAAGAATATACCTATTTACATACTCCAATGAATTATTTTTTATGCAAATTTATTTTTATTCTCTTTTTTCTCAAGAATAATACCGCATAGACGGCTGTTCATCACCATACCATGGGTTTTTACATATTTCTGCAACTAGAATATATCCAAAGAACGAGACGAATATCAGATCACTTGTCATCATGTGAGTACAGAAAGAAACATTAAATATTTCAAATAATTGAATGAGCAAGCTGTCTTTAACCCTATATTAATTAGTTTTGACTTCACATGTATGAGAAAATAAATATATATTTTTTAAACCTAATATTAAATTTATAGAGATATTCCATGCTGATGGATTAGAAGGAGAGAAAATACATACCGTTGATCCAGTTCATCTGGGGTTGAAAATGGTAGCCAGTTCTATGCACTTGCTTTACAGCGACACGAGAAACAGATTGTAAGTGTAAATACTCTTTGTGAGATGCTTCAACGACGCCATTGTTGAATGCCAAGAAACAAAACAAGTAAACAGCAAAAACCCAGAAAAACTTATAATCTGCCATACTTTTAAAAGAAGTAGAAATCAGAACTTTTGTTAAAGTTATGAAGAGAGACTCTCTCTCTCTCTATGAACAATGGTGTAGATCTCATAGGGAATGAACGAAGGTGGGTTATTTATAGATGAACGAGTCAACGGGTAAACGAATAGAATTGGATAAGGATTGGATTAACTGCGGTTATTTTTGTTTTTTCACCTGTTTACCAGTTTTCTTATCTTTGGACTTTGAGAGATGGACGGTGGGAGAATTCGAGGAGACGTACAACGGTATTTCAAATATAATAATACACTCACAAAATTTAAGAATAAGTTAGTATTTTAATTACGTCAAAAGAAAATTGTGTACAACAAGGATTTATGCTAGAAAATATACTATGTATATTATAACACATAAATTTTTACTTTTTTTTTGGTTAATGATTTCGCGCAGTCGATCATGCTAAAATATGTCGAAGGGGAATTTTAGAACAAGAATTTCTCATGAAAACTATGTTAACTTTCAAGTATTAATTTTTTTGGCAATGATTCCAAGCCGCCGATCGTGTTAAATGTGTCGAATGGGGGAATTCTAAGATGAATCATGCTACATGTACAACATTAGTTGACAACATTATATTTGATATCATCATATCCATTTTAAAAAACTGTTTTCTATATCACATGCTAGAATTTTGACAACACATGGTTGTCAACCATTGTTGTCAACCAATGTTGTATACTTAAATTTATTCATTCTAGGATATAAATTTCTGATAAAAACTACATTAATTTTCAAGTATTTTGATATTTAAATTTTAGGGAAATATAAATTTTGATATTTTGACTTGAATAATCTTCCGAGATTAAGTTTGACAATTTAGAAGATAATTACGTTATTAGTTTTTTTTCTCATTGACCTAGATATTGATGATTAGAGCAAGGGATTCTACCATTCTCTATAGTCAATGAGAACATGATTCATAATTAAACAATTATCTTATATTGTCAAGGTCGTTACTTGAATTGTCTACCATATACAGTGGCTTGATTTGTATCTCTTATCAAAATTTAAGGTTAGTCATGGAAGGCTGCGAAAAAAAATTAATGAATTTCATATTATAGTTGGTCGAAAAAAATTGTTTCAAATTACAATTTAAACTCACGAGAAATTTCAAGTCTCTATTGTTTTTCCATTTAGGCATCTAATCCAAGACATCTTCTTTGAATTTCAAAAAGTTAAGCCATCAAATCATCCGACTTTTAAGTTCTCGCTAAAATTGAGATTGTAATTAAAATCACATGGTCCTATCCTATCCTATCAAATTATATTTATTGATGAACGATATTTAACGGCATTCATTAGTCAATACTGTTTGCAGTCGCTGACTACATTTGAAAAGTAGTAATGCTATATGGTTCATGACATTTGAAAAGTAGTAAATCTAGGCTAGGTTTGTAATTAACGTTAGAAACAAACTTTTGATTCTCACAAGTTCTTTTAGATATTAGGTAAATTTAGAAAAAATTATACCATCTACATGTGATTTTGAATATTTATAAATAATGGTAATACTACAAAATTACACGTTTATCATCGATGCTCAATTTAATAATTGTACACCGACATCACAGTAAATTATTTTTGTTTATCAAACAATGAAATGATAATTTGAAACATACAACAATTCTGAAAGAAAAGTTTACGAAACACTTTAATTTTTCATGTATCTAATTATTTTTCCAGCACAACAATAAATGATTCACTTAAAAGCACATCAATATGAAAAAAATATCATTTTTCGACCCAAATTCCCACTTTTTGGATGTTTGATTGGCAATTTTGTTCATGAAAAATATTTTTCAACTTTTGGTCATGTGATCATATTTTCTTCAAAAAATAAGGAAAACATTTTTTCTAAGGAGCGATGATTTTTATATTCCTGGTAATTCACTATCTCTTTTCTCTCTTATCTATCTACCAATAAAAAATGCATAAATATATTATTTTTTAGGTTGAAAATTAAATCAATCAAACACATTTATTAATTAATAATTTACATACAAATGAATTCTAGATAATTGAATTCTCTAATTTTTTTTCCATAAATTCCATACTAGCAATTAAACGCACCCTTATTATAAAACATCTGGATTTTACCAATTTATGATAACCCTAATCTAATACAACTTAGACTATACAAGATAACAGACAATTATTTTACAACTTTATCACTAACAAATTTAAAATTTATTTAATAATTATTTCTCTTATTTTTGTATGAGATTTATTATTTGTTAGACTATAATTAATATTTTACTCATTTTAATAATAATTACGATTATATATAAAACGTGTGCATAATTTTTATGCATTGTTTAAACACATGCAATAAAAAGAATCATTAATTAATTAATAGGTGAAACTTTTTCCTACGAATAGTCATATGTGGAAAAGCATAATGGTAGTGGATATTCACACCAAACAATGATGATTATTAATATTGTCAACTACGTTTCTCGTCATCAAACATTATTGAGTAGCGTTATTTATCTGTAACGGAGTTCATCTTCAGTTTATATGATAGTGGAGTCATTGTTACACTCTCAAGTAATTAAAATGCATTTTAACTCCATTGAATAATTTGACATTGAACTCACCGTCACATACATTGAGATGAATTCCGTTAAAAATAACTAACGTTACTCTATTCAATATTCACTAAAATAAATTCCCATTCCAATTGAAATCCAAAAAGAAACATTTGTAGAAAGAAATAGATCAGTATTGTTGTTATCAACATCAATTTGGCATGTCATAGTCATCCCTCACTGGATTTCCACTAAGTACCAATTACTCAATTCTGTGGATATAAATTGTATGAATTGGATTTTTTCAATTTTCATACAATAAACTGCAAATGGATTGTATGAATTGACTTCTCAAATATGGAAAATGCAAGTGCAAGAATTTCGAAAAGAAAAAAAGTGCGCTTATCTCTTTTCGTAATGTGTGACACTTCTAATTACATTCATAAAAATTCGAGTTCACTTTATCAAGTTGTGGAACTTAATTAGTCGATTTGTGGAGCCACCATTAGAGTTTTGGGTTATCATAAAAAAGAGGAAGAGATTAGAAAATAGAGGGTGTGCGATTCTTTTTATTTTTTTTTTGTAAACTTCTCTTCATC